GATTCCAAAACATATAAATTTCGGTACCGACGTGAGGCTGGGGTTTAAAAAACATCCACCATGCATATATTGATTTAAGCGAAAATCCAAACCCATTCATATATTTCACAGGAAAATCCCAACCCATTCATATATTTCATAGGAAAATCACAACCCATTTATATACACTTCAATGCTATTACGACATCTTATTTAGATGTTAACCACATGGAATCATTCATATTATTAGATAAAAAGATCAAAACACTGTTTTACTCACTATATAGAATATGAACATTTATGACCCATTTACTTGTTTCCTCCGTGAAATTGCGCCCCATTGATATATTTGACATTCCAAAAAAAAGTGACCCATACCAGCGGCACGTCTGTGTATACCTTTAGGAAAAGACCGCTCCATATAACAAAGTTTTTGAAAATATTCAAAAGTCTTTATCATTAAGAATTAAATTATCTGTGAGAAGCAACTACAATTATAGGAAACACAATTTCTGGAACGTCGTATCAACTGGGAGACCTTTACCGTAAGTTTGGGATATAAATATGAAGCATATTTAACTTCATTTAAATGGACGCGATCAACATAGTCACACAGCTTTGCATCATTCAGTGAAAGGACATCATCCCTGGACGTATATAGCTGACCTTTAAGATAAGGGATAATGCTATCGTCTTTTCGTTCATCTTTAATTCTGCCAAATGCGAAAAAGGAAAAAGTCGGCTAGGAAATATTTGTACTGATAGGTATGCCGACTATCTGTTGAGAAATTAAGTCGAACAAAGCCAGCATATTTTGTTATTGTCAAGATTGTTCTGTCATCCGACTGCCGAAACAGACCCCAAAACAGTTTTAATGTAATAAAAAATGAAACAAGTATATGTAGATGATGTCTGATTCAGATATCTTTTTGCAAGTGTCAGAGTGGTTTTAAAAAAGTGTGATTTCTAACTTCCAAAACCTATAATATTTTAACTGCAATGGATATTCCTTTTTTTTTTTTTGGAAGAAAGCTAAACCATCATCTTAATATGACTGTAAGTTTAATTGGTAAATATAGTTTATAGGGCAGATTAGTCAAATGTTTAATGTTATTGCTTGAGGAGAATGGCTGTTATTGTATGTAATTCTAACATTTTAGTCTCCCTATCGGAATCAACCCACCTCTAGAGTATAGGTAACTTGATAAAGTAAATGTTAATCATTTTGAAAAAAAAAACATCGTGGAACATTTGATAGACTAGGCATGTAACGCTGCTGGCAGTAACACGTAAGTACCATACACACACAAGTTCTATCTCTTCATCTTTAGTTGAAATTTAAGGAAACTGAAACATGTAGACTTATAATTTTTTCATGATTTCCTCTTTATTATCTTAACACTTTGATATGTCTACATTTTCTAACATAGAGGAGATAGTATAGTTATACACATATAGGTTGAGGATGACAACAAATATTGTACTTGTTCACATAAAAAGTACACAGAAGAAGATATTGTCAGAATACTTGAGCCTTTATTCGAAAATATCTTTGGTGAAAACATATTTTGCAACAGTCAGCTAGACCAACTGTGTGAATTTTTAATTGTGAATTTAACTCTTCATCACCTGCGTAAGCTACTTTTATATTGCCGTTGATTCACTTTATGTAGGTACTGCATTAATCTCATTGCAAGATACTTTAATAAATTACGTAGACATGTAAAGAAAGTATTAAAACCATTTGTTTTTATGATTAAATTTATGATCGATTTGGATATAAAGTATTCAGTTAATTTATTAATATTCCAATGGAGACTAACTGTGTTCCAGTTATTTCAGATTTGTTCCTTTATAAAAATCAGAGTATGAAGAACTATTGAAACACAAAAGAAAACCCAAATATTGTCAACAATTTTTATGGACATAAAGACGATACATATCTGTAAATGTATGGATAAAAGGAGATAAAGGGGGTTGTGTCAATGCGGCAACAATCTAACGATACAACACAAACACAAAAGACATATAGATTCAGCAAACTATCTTCAACTATAAACCGGTGATGATTTTTTTAGTAGTGACTGCCATCTACAACAAAATCTCCAAATGAGAATACCATTAAGCTATAGGGAAAAGACAAATACTGTCGAGATTTTTTTAATAAGGACAGACAAATGAATATGTGGATTAACCTAGTCTTTTGAGATGACCACCCATAACAGAACATACAATAAAAATCTGTTTAGGAAAACCACATAACTCTAATAGGATTTTGTACATTGCACAAGACGTGCCTCTATAGAATTTCAATGCAGGAAAAATACTGAATGAACATTCTAGTCTTGCTTCGCTGCTTTAAATGAATAAATTGATGTTCATCCTAATCCCCCCCCCCCCCCCCCCCCCCCCAACACACACACAAAATCCACCAAACACAATTACTGAACAACAGCATTCTAAGTACAGTCCTAAATTTGTTAACTTTATAAATAATATTACAGTTAAAATTCCTCTTAGGGTAGAATCATACTTTCTTAAAAAGTCTTTATACTTGTGATAAATCTTTGTATAGAGTGTTGACCAATTTAAGATTACAAAACCAGATTTGATAAGTAGTTCATCATTATTACTTTGGCAATTACCTCAGTTTATTAATCTCAGTGCTCTTTAGGTATTGCCAAGTTAGATAACTCTGTTATTCACATTGGTACTTTTTGCTTTTACCTCAACATAAACTAAGTTTTCTGTAGGAAAGAAATGAACATACAGTTAACTTCACGTGTTTGTTTTAATAATAAGAATAAAAGTACCCAATAAAATTTTAAAAAAAAACAACAAAAGACGGAGATAGTCTTAAAGTAGTACTCAGAGAAGATATACCGTCAATTAAAAGAGGTAATCAAAACCAATATTCGGCGGAAAATACCAGACGGTTCAATTGGTAAAAAACGACGAAAAGACAAACTACAGTCCACACTGATACTACTTACAAATCTAAAGATTGAACACACACCCCATTAAAAACCAGTGGTCACCAAGGATTCAGATAGAATAAGAAGTTATACTGTTGTTAAAAATACCTTGATGAGTAATGTCCACTGAAAAGAAATCATATGATATTAGCGAAATGGTAAATGACTTTTATTTGAATCTACATCTACATCTACTTAATTCATTAATACTTTCGTAACAATGCCTTCAATATCATGTTGAAGATTTGAAGAAAGAGGGACGAAAGAAACCAGAGGGACAGTCAAACTCATAGATCGAAAACAAACTGACAACGCCATGGCCAAAAATAAAAAGACAAATAGACAAATAATAGTACAGATGACACAACAAAGAAAACTAAAGACTAAGCAACACGAACCCCACCAAAAACTGGGGGTGATCTCAGGTGCTCCGGAAGGGTAAGAAGATCCTGCTCCACATGTGGCACCCGTCGTGTTGCTTATGCTATTACAAATCCGGTAAATAGTCTATTTCGGTAGGTCACATTCGTGAAAAGGGAAGGATTGTAGTTACGACATAAGGAACATATCCGATATCATCTGTGAAACGGTTATTCCATAACAGTCAACCAACTTGTGATGGGGTCCTACTAAAAAGCCCCCGGGAGCGCCCGGGTAAAGATAAAGCGCCCGGGGTAAAAAAAATCGCCCGGGGAAAGGAAAAAGGCACCCGGGGAAAATATATACTCGTAGATACTGTATTGGCATGAGACAACTTTGAGTCGATGGAATACGTTATGCACATTGATTTTTTTAAATTTTAGACAAGTATTTTGCAAATTCAAGATAATAGACACTTGTAATAAAGCACAAAAACAAGTATGAATGTTTCAATTTTAACAATAATATATGAATACTATTTCGAAAGACAGACAATAATGGATCACAGTTTATGCTGAAGATTTATAAAATGTTAAAAATCAAAAGACATGTTTTCAAAAACGATATCAAAATAAAAAATGCAAAAACAACTTAAATTTCACAGATAAATATTAATTTTATAAAATTAAAAGAGTTACACATTATTTAAAAACGATAAAAGTTACACGCACATGTATATCAGCATCAGCAAATAAAACAATTATACTATGCATGTTAAAAGCAGGAGCTTGGTATAAAACAAATAACATTGAATCACCGTAGTTAAAACAAGGGGGTAAAAAACAGGAGTTTGGTTTAAATTTAAAACTAAGCATTAAAACACTGATAAGCATAGCCATTAAAACAGTTTTAGTTTTATAAAAAGATATAATAAATCTATATCAGATTGATTGATTGTTGGTTGCTTAACGTATATATCAACATCTGCATATAAAACATTTACTATTGTTAGTATTGTACTAAAAGTAAAAATTAAAACACTGATAAGCAAAGCCATTAAAACAGTTTCAGTTTTATAAAAAGATATAATAAATCTATATACGCTTGTTTATATTTACTTACTTACTTACTCAGTTATATACAATTTTGAAATCTAAAATGTAAAAGTGAAACAACACTATCTACACACTTTAGATGTAGCATCGTACATATCCCCATTTATATTAAGGACAAAACAAGCAATGATTTTTTTTTTTATTCAGGAAAACATTTATTGTTATAAAATATTATTATTTTATTCTCTCGGTCGGCTTGTTTTTCTTCCCCGGGCGTTTTTTCTTTTCCCCGGACTCTGTATTTTCTTTCCCGGGCGCTTTTTCTTTTCCCCGGGCGATTTTTTTTCTTCCCCGGGCGCTCCCGGGCGCTTTTAGTAGGACCGCGTGATGGCGTCCGTAAAATTTACGAAGGGATGATTTCAACTTCACCGGCCATTTGGAACTCTTGGTTTAATAGCTTCCTTGTGAGCAGCAATCCTCTATCAAGGAAATCATGATAGGAAATACAAGCCCGGGAAAATAATATCAATTGGGAGATATATATTGTATAACCAACTCTTCTAAGCCAACTGTCGACCAGTGAGCTTGGATCTCCGGCTAAGTCATTCCGGAAAGCATATCGAAACCGTGTTTGAATATTTTAAAAGCATCCTCTTACATCCGGTCGATTCAAGATTCAACGAGCTCGATTCAACACATGTTTCTGTCTTATTTCAGCATCTAATTCAGCTTCTATGGCAGCCGTGACGGCCCATGTTGTCACAGGAGAATGTTATAAAAAAAATATAGGTATGTGTTTTAATAGCAAATTCGCTCATTTCTTCTCCAAAGTAAACATTTATCTATTAATGCACAGGTCCAAAGACAATGCTCGTTTAGCTGTTTAGTGGGTCAGACGAGGTTTTACTGTCAGTGGCGGTCGCTATCCTATATAAGATTGTTAATTAATATAGGATAGCGACCGCCATTGACCATCGGCCTCCAGTGATTATCGCACACACTCATTCTTCCCAAGATAGATATGACACATTTTGTGCCTTATAATTATACATGTAGGTCCCAAGAACCATCCGGGATTGGAACGCTCTTCCTCCTGGGGTTGTATCAGCACTGTCAGTCGAGGCTTTTAAAGCCTCTATGACAAAGCTGAATTAAATTTAAATAATGTGGGGGCAGGGGGTGGTTCTGGGGTCGCCCCAAAATTGGACACCCCATTAGTCAGACACCCCATTGGTCCAACACCCCATTGGTCCGACACTCCAATAGTCTGACAAAGGTAAATTACTTTGGTAATAGAAAATCTTCATAGAATCATTATCGACGTGGTATATGAACTACTCTTTGTTATAAGAAATGGAAATAGATAATACTTCACCAGAGCTATCAACCCATTGGTAGTAAAAACTGGTCAAAGATACCAGGCTTATAATTTTTCTATATATGGCAGACACACCTGTCTTTTAAACAAGACTTGTCAGTGGGGATCAAGTCAAAGCAGTTTGAAAGTGAAATCAATTACTTTGCAAGTTGAAGAGCTTGAAATCAAAAAGTTTTGCCAAATCTGACTTAACATGGCTAAGGCCATCAATATCAAGTGTTCGAGAGGTTCAGCAACACTACAAGTTCTGCAATAGTATGTTTTTGCCACACTTAGTATTTTATTATATTCTTAACATGTACAAATATATTATACATTAATTGTTTTGACAGAAATTTTTGTTGACAACAATTAACTTACTGAATGCCAGTGTGACACTTACAAGAACCTGCAAGGACACCTTCTCACTCTCCTGGATCAGTATGATTCATTTTTTTAGGGAGGGCGGGGCTGGTGTGTAGTCTGGGGTCTGCCAACAATTTCTGTGCAATAACTGATGAACCATTTAACAAATGCTTTTCCAATTTTAATATGATGTTACTGATGACAAAACCAAGTCAAGTTCAATGAGTTATAGTCCCTGATAAATTGTAATTTGGCATTGCATGTCATATGCATTTAATAACTTATGAATTGTTCAGCCAATGCTTTTCAAATTTTACTTACATGACTTATGTTGTTAGTATTGACAAAATGGAGATCAAGTAACTTAAAGTTTGATATTGACTATGTTCAGTTTTACCATTCAGGACATATCCTTGATACATGTAGATTGTAAAATACATGTAGGAATAGAACTTGGCAGGTCAAACAAGCCTGAAAGCTCAATACATTTGTATCAGCTGCTCTCTTTAAGTTCAGCATTTGGTCACCTTCAAAATACAGAAAACACTATTTCAATGCTGTCAATTTGACAGCACATTTCTTGTTGTTTATTACCTTGAAAACTAAAATAGATAAAGAGAAACTGTTCATAGCAAAAATGATCAGCAAGACAAGATCTTCAAATAAATCATCTTACAGTAGTTATTGCCCTTCGATTAGGATTTTTACCATATTTGTCATTTTTCCCTGATATTTTAAATGATCAGTAAAACAACCTCTACAAATTAGTAATATGGTAGTTATTGTCAGACAACCACTTATTGAAGTTATTGCCCTTAAATGACGATTTTTACCAAGTGTTTGCGTTTTTGCCTATTATCTTTAAAACTATTATAGATTGGGAGAAATTTTGAATACTAAAAATGATCAGCAAGGCAAGACTTATACTTATAGTATCTGAGATAAGGACTTGATCACGGAAGCTTAACCTTGTTCACTGATCAATGAAATAAGGTCTAGATCAGGTGAACCATGTCTGACTGACATGCAGACCTTGCTAGGATACAATATATTAGTACCGGTAACCAAATATAGTTATCCTTGAACTCATGATAAATGAGGCATTCAAATGACAAAAAAAGTTATACAGTTTTTTTTAGCAGTCACATAACAATGAAAAAAAGGTCAAGGATAATGATCATATGACAGACAGACTTTGTAACACAACAAATCTATATACAAAGTATGAATCATCCAATTCCTCTATTAATCTCTGAAATATAAAGCTATCCAAATAATTTACGTCGTTGCTGCCACCACCACCATCAGATTGTATTCACTATGCGTCGTATTCTACGACTTTCGTCGAATGTGTCTTAAAACAGAACAACTGAAATTAGCTCTCTGACCTAGATCTGGTCGCTGGGCTTTCAAATTAACAGTAGACAATGAAATGTAATAGCTACTTAAAACTACTAGCTTCAACATAGAAAACAAAAGACTGAGCAACAATTTTTTTTCAACAATTTTTCTATGTTGTTTACACATGTTACAAGTGTTTGTAAAATACATCGGATGCTGTACATAACCCTCTTTTTGTAGATAATCTTTTACTTCATGTCAATTGTATAGCAAATGTATGCTCAATAAGTCATGTAAGTGTGTAAGATGGAGTGATTAACCTGTTTTTTTATTGTCAGTTTGTTTTCGTATCTTTGATAGACACCCCTCCCCCTTTTTAGCTCACCGGGGCCCAAAGGGTCCCATGTGAGCTTATGCCATCACTTGGCGTCGGTCGTCGTCTGTCATCATAAACTATTTCAAAAATCTTCTCCTCTGAAACTACTGGGCCAAATACCTTTAAACTTTAACTAAATGTTCCTTAGGGTATCTAGTTTATAAATTGTATCCGAAGTTTTGATCCATTGACAAACATGGCCACCATGGCTAAAAATAGAACATAGGGGTCAAATGCAGTTTTTGGCTTATATCTTAAAAAGTAAAGCTTTTAGAACAAATCTGACATGTGGTAAAATTGATCAATTGGTCAAGATCTATCAGCCCTGAAATTTTCAGACGAATCGAACAACCCATTGTTGGGTTGCTGCCACTAAATTGGTAGTTTTAAGGAAATTTTTCAGTTTTTTGTTATCTTGAATATTATTATAGATAGATATAAACTGTAAACAGCAATAATGTTCAGCAAAGTAAGATCTACAAAAAAGTTAATAAGACCATAATTGTCAATTGACCCCTTAAGGAGTTATTGCCCTTTAAAGACAATTTTACACAATTTGTTCATCAAGTTTGCTAACATTTAAAAATCTTCTCCTCTGAAGTACAGGTGAGCGATTCAGGCTCTTGAGAGCCTCTTGTTTTACCTTTTCCAGTAATATCTCATTTCTATAAAGCAAAAATATACTCAGACCTGCTAATTCAATCATTCTGCGTTAAGGTTACACCAGTTTTGGAACAAATAAAATTGAGAATGGAAGTACAATTGGATGTGCTTCCACACTTACCAAAAGAAAATTGGATATAAATAACCAAGAAAATCATATAAGAATACCTTCTATCAAAAGACAACTTTGTAAATGTTAATGTCTGAAAAAAACATCTCTAGAGATCACTAGTATGGAATCTTAAGTAAAAATTCTGATTTTGGAAATTTTAATGAGTCAACAGTCAGGGACGTTACTTAAACAAGTAATTTATTTTAGTAACTTATATAGGTAATATTTGTTTTTGAAAATTATTTAAAATTACTCAATAGAGTTATTTTATATTTCAATAGAAGCATGGACTAATGTAGTTTTCATGAATTTTTACATCATTTTATTACATAAAATTAAGAATCTATTAAATTTGAGAGAACTATAGAGATAAAAGGTTACTTTGAAAATAATGACAAAAATATTACTTGAATAAGTTATTTTATACATCTTTGAAAGAATTAGTAATTACAATTAATTAAGGAACATATGTTATTGTTTTGGGTTACAAATTAAAAATAACTTGAAGTCTTAATCAAATCACAAGTTTCTATCTAATTATATATGTCTACCTTCAAGATTTTCAAGGAAAATGATATTTTAATAGTCCCATGAAACCAATCTTTGACCAAGAAGCCTTGATATGAAAGAAAAGATAAGTGCGTTTGGAAAGGCAATTAGTGTTTCAGGAGGATTTATCTCAGGGGGTTCACGCTTATATATTAGCAAGCTTTGGAAGTGTCTATGGGTCACTCGATATCCTCCGAATCACGATTCTCAGAACGTCTCGAAAATTTTCCATCATTTATATAGGTAGTTATTTATGTCTTTGATACGGTCCCTCTATGGATAGGCTACCAAGTGACATTGTATATTTCAACAATCCGACAAACGGTTCATTTGTAGATTTGAAAGTAAAACAATAAAGACTAGGTTGCATTCTAAAAATCATTTATATGTTAGAACCTATTTGCCTTTTGACAAAACATATATGTTTTTAATAATGTGAATGTTTATTAAATATCAAGTATAATGATAACGTAATTATATAATTCATGCTATGAGATGGTCCCTCTACGCGTTGTGTGTGTTTTACTTAATAAACCTGGGAATAGTTTATTGATATACAATGACCATGATGACCCAGAATAAACTGATTATTTCTGAACCTTTATCATTTGATATTTAGTATTTAATCATAGCATGAGAAAATGTCAGAATGAATGAAGAAAAGTAAGAAAACGATGTTTCCTGTTAAAAATATTTATCTAAGGTCGGAAACACAGTGGTTGGAAAGCAGAAAGATAATCAAACAAAAGGATTTTTCTGTAAAAAATTTCTAATTTCATTAATAGATACTACCAGTCTAAGAGAATATTCATTGTTAAGGTAAAACTGAGACTGAATTTATTCCTAATAATTATAGAATATAATTAAAATTGTCATGTATACGAGCATTATGTCTCACAGGTGTGATCAGTCATCACATTTATGAAAATTATATGTAATGTATGAGCACCAATGAGCAGGGATGCGTGGCCAAAGTTAGCTAAATATCTAAATTTTAAACGGTCCTGAATGAAAAAATACTTACATGGTTTCAATTCACAAGGATTTTAAATCCTTGCATCTCACAAAAAGCGTAATTAATATTTTAAAATAATCACAACAAAATTTAATTACTATTATAATGTTAAATTATTTTTTAAAATTTTTTTTTATTTAATTAGTTCAACCTTATAGCATCTAAATATTTGTACTATGGTACGGTTTTGAAAATTGTAATCATTGTGTTGGTCAGCTATCCTACACGTCTTGATTCATTCAGATTATACATCACCCTGTTCACACGCATACTATCGGTTTGCGTTCACAAAAATTCCAGATAAAATGTCAATGAATCCGGAGTCAAAACACTTGAGGTATGTAGTTTGACATCCGAATTTAACTATTAGATTAATATACATGATATATGTGATGACGCAAATGCGTATTCTTATCCAGAGTATCAGTGCGTATGCTTTCTACTTACTATTTCTTGCGCAAAAATACCAGGTTCATGCATAAATATTAATTTCACTCGCGAATGTGAATTTTAGCTTTTCTATCTAAATTCAGGACACGGCAATAAGAGGTTGCCATGTGACTTTCAAGCACTGTCGTCATTGCTTACAGTATTCTGACCTCTAGCTGTTTCTTTTTTGTTTTCTTTTTTGAGTCACTGTCCTTTTATAAACTTTGACATTTTCCAAATGCCAAGGAATTTCTACCCAAGGAATAGATTACTTCACTTCGTACTTTACCTAAAAAATGGCCTTTTTAACTATTTTTATTCGAGTGTCACTGATGATTCTTTGTAGACTTAACTCGCATCTGGCGTACAACATGTTTATCTTTTTATTTAATTGGTTCTTTTGAGAGTATGTTCAAGTATTCATAAAACTTCTGAAAATAAGATATTCTTCAAAACCAAGTTTTCCTATAAAATATTTGGATTGTTTTAAGTAAAATCAGGAAATCCTTAAAATTTGAGATGTTTTATGAGACCAAAATAAGTCTCTATATAAGAGGTCCAAATGAAGCTGGTGTGTTACTCTCAAGAAAAATATACAAAACCTTCTTATAAGTTGCATGCCACAGGGTTTCACTTCACATGGAAAATGGACTTTAAATTTATCTTTACCAGTCAGAGATATAACTCTATAGGGTTATTACAGAAAATAAATTGCGTGTGTTATTACAGATACTTTCATGAGTTGTCTACTCTTTATTCCTTAAATTTTCTAAATCTGCAATAACATATGTTTGTTATTTGTAAAATAAATCAAAAATATTTTAATTTGTAATGGGCTCTAGGGAACTCTTGATACTTTGTGCAGAAACTAAATGCATAGCCTTGATAATTAATTTTTTATTTAAATTAATACATTTTTTATTAACCATGGTAAATCAATGAGACGAGGCTTTTAAGGGATAAAATTAGCTGTAATAACATAGCTTAGTTATTAAAGGAATGTAACCTATTAAATGAGACACTTGGGAATTACTGGGAAGCTTGCACAGAACCTCATTACATGCTCTGGTCATTATTTCTTACAATAAATTAAAATACATTGTAATTAAGCATGATGGATGTCTGAGAAAAGCCTTGATTTTGGGGGTAATTGCCTCAAAATTTTAGGAATTAGGGGCCAAAAAAGGGGCAAAAAACAAGCATTTTTCTAGTTTCATGACAATAACTTGTGTGTAAGTGTTTGGATATTTCTGAAATTGTACTACAAGGTTCCATATCACAAAGGGAAAGCTGGAATTGAGTTTGGGGGTAATTGCCCGAAACGTTTAGGAATTGGGGGCCAAAAAGGGGCCAAAAATAAGCATTTTTCTAGTTTCCAGACAATAACTTGTGTTCAAGTGTATGGATCTCGCTGAAATTGTACTGCAAGGTACCATACCACAAAGGGAAGGCTGGGATTGAGTTTGGGGGTGATGAATCATAAGGGGGTTCAAAAAATTTGGGGGGGGGATTTTTTTTTTTCTTTTTTTTTCTTTTTTTCCTTTTTTTTTCTTTTAAAATTTTCCATTTTAAGTTGGTTATTTCTGATTTATATTTAAAATTTTCCATTTTAAGTTGGTTATTTCTGATTTATATTTAAAAGCAAATAATAATGATATGGTAGGAGATACACACCAAACAGGATGTGTAAATTATTATATAATAAGTATTGTGCAATAGCAAGAAATTTTCAATTGCACAGTATTGCACAATAGCAAGAAATCTTCAATTGCACAGTATTGCGCAATAGCAAGAAATCTTCAATTGCACAGTATTGCGCAATAGCAAGAAATATCCAATAGCACAATATTGCGCAATAGCAAGAAATTGTCAATTGTACAGTATTGCGCAATAGCAAGAAATATTCAATTGCACAGTATTGTGCAAAAGAAGATACTTCGTATAAATTGCTTATTTCTTGATCAATTTCAATGGGGTTTATTCTTGAATTCTTGGGGTTCTTTAATATGCTGAATCTAACCGTGTATTAAGTTTTTGGATTTTGGGCCCTGTTTTTAAATTGGTCCACATTGAGGTCTAAAGGGTCCAAAATTTAACTTTGTTTGATTTCATCAAAAATTGAATTATTGGGGTTCTGTGATATGCCGAATCTAACCGTGTATTTAGATTCTTAATTTTTGGTTCCGTTTTCAAATTGGTCTACATTAAGGTCCAAAGGGTCCAAAATTAAACTTAGTTTGATTTTAACAAAAATTGAATTTTTAGGGTTCTTTGATATGCTGAATCTAAACATGTATTTAGATTTTTGATTATTGGCCCAGTTTTCAAGTTGGTCCAAATGGGGGTCCTAAATTAAACTTTGTTTGATTTCAACAAAAATTGAATATATGGGGTTCTTTGATATGCTGAATCTAACCATGTATTTAGATTTTGATTTTTGGGCCCCGTTATCAACTTTGTCCATATTGAGGTCAAAAGGGTCCAAAATTAAACTTTGTTTGATTTCATCAAAAATTGAATTCTTGGGGTTCTTTGATATGCTGAATCTAACCATGTATTTAGATTTTGGATATTGGACCATAATAGGTGAATGTCTAATTTAAAATTTTTAAGTTCTTAGACCACATTCATTCTGTGTCAGAAACCTATGCTGTGTCAAATATTTAATCACAATCCAAATTCAGAGCTGTATCAAGCTAGAATGTTGTGTCCATACTTGCCCCAACTGTTTAGAGTTTGACCTCTGCGGTCGTATCAAGCTGCACCCTGCGGAGCATTTTATTATATTTCTTGGAAAAAATAATCAGATGACTGTGAAAATTTGTTAAAGCTAGTAAAATTTGTATTAATGACACCTATAAAAACAATATTTAGAAAAGTTACTTATATAAGTAATATTTGATATAGCCTCGTTTTTAACATTACTTATATAGGTAATTTTAAAAGTTACTTGTTTTTAAAGTAATGTGCCTGACTGGTCAAGGACACTGTTATTTATCAGCTGAGTGAAAATTGAATTATTCAGAAAATGTGCACCCTATAAGTACAAATGTCTTCCTTGAATCATATTTGGCAACAGAAATATCAAATTAGTCCTAAATATAGAAACTTTTAGTTATAATCCTTTGAATTATTTGAATTTTTTGCTCTAAACGCATATGTAGGGGTTGCAAGCTGTCTAAACATGACTCTATGTTTTCCCTGAAATTTTAAGAAAATCGTGACCACCGTAGACAACGACGACATTGATATTTCTTTCCAATGATATAAAATACTGCTGTGTGTTATTCCGCTAACCCAAATTGCTCAAATTCGTTGACTGGGCACCCTACTAATAGCAGATTGAAGAAAACAAATCAGAAAAAAATGATCAACAAAAAGAGATTTTAGTCATGAATTATATTATAGCCTACAATGTGGGAGAGTGGCCATTGTTAAAGATGCACTTAGATCCAGGTGAGGGACACAAGCGCTTTAGAGCCTCTAGTTTTTCCGTTTCAGAGATACTAAACTCCTTCTACTTCAGTTCTTCAGACTTCTGTGATATTAGTTTAAATGAACTTATCCTCATAATTTAATTTACTGAAAATAACTTTATTAAACACATACAACGTATTTAAATTATTCTCTGAAATTTTAAGTACATTGTATGTCATTTAGCATTCCTAAAGCAATACAATTTTTAATAGAACCTCCATTTTTCATGTTTTTACTTTAAGAAATAGATTAATGGAAAAATCAAATAATCAAGAAAGCATGTAAATGTTTGAAGATTTCTATGCTTCAGGTTTTATCTAATGTATAATTTTTCCATAAAAGAAATGAATTAATGCCTCAAATGACAACAGGAAAATCTAAAACTCATTTTTAAATCTGATATTGTTTTATTATTGACAGCTCATTTTACGAATGGAGAGATAAAAGAAAATCATACTGATGGTTTGTCAGTTGGACAGTTTATCAGAGCAGGAGATGGCAGAAAGAGAAAACACACAATATTGGTTTGTGGTACTTTTAAGATTTCTTAAAACTATTTAAAGAAAAATATTATTCCATTTGTTAAGAACATGATTTTAAATCACCATTATTAATAAGTTATGATATTGAACTTAAAGTACTGAATTAATGGATTAAACATGATTGTTACATAAGCTAATTTCAGGAGGAATTTATTCTTAAGTTCAGTCTTATCTGTTGTTTATTATCTCTTTCACTACTTGATTTCTCAATAGATTATATTGTACTTTAGCTAGAAAAATTTTGAGCAATTCATTTAAATCTTCTTGAAGACATTGTAGAATTATCTACTAAATTACAAGGCATACAGTAGTGCTCAGCATCAAATGTGATCCATGCCTTCTTTTTCTTTTTGTTTGGTTCCATCCATTGTGATTTGGTTTCCATTCAGTTTCTTGAATTTAGCCTTTACAATTCATTAAAAAAAAATAAAATAGAAGTAATAGATATATTGGAAAATTAGAGGTTTGTCCAATTTCATAATTTAGCCTTGAGCAACCAAAGTAATGAAAATTTGGCAGCTTACTTCAGGACTGTTAAACTCAGATGAAATTTAAGTCTTGTTTTATTTTTGGCAGCAAAGATTCTAAGTTTTGCCCCTTGATTCTACAGAAAATAGCAAAATTTGAGGGATTTGTACTTGCTTCTAAATTTTTTCAAGCAAACTTTTTCATTTTTTTTACAATTTTAGGAATAATGTAAGATAAATTTCATTAAGATGATTAATGTACATGTCTATATGTAATTTTTGTGTCATGGTCCATACCATCAGCAAGTCTTTTTTTCTTTCAGTTTTGCTTAGTTTTTCAAATGGATTTGTTTAACAGAACAGGTTATTTTTTCTGGGCTGTGCATCCATTTCCATCGACTATTTTTACTTGCATTACTGAAGGCGGAAGCAGGTCTAGTAACTGCTTGACTCCACCCGTCTTTCTGTCTGTCCAATAGTCTGAAATTTTGCAGCACTCTTTGTACAAGGGAAAATTTTCTTCAAACTTTTCTTGGCTAATTTTGAAGTGAATGACTTTAATTTTTGGTCCGGGGAATGATCAGTTATGCTTTGGTATACATGTTATCACAATCAACTACATGCAGTAACACAGATCCAGTCCTGGTTTTGATCTAGTTTCCATTAGAATTCACACGACTTATATTTATTTGAAACAAGAAAAAACTAACTGACTGAAAATTATCTAAAAGAAAAATACACATAAACAATTACTTATATTCTGGAAGAGTAAACATATCATTCACAGTTGTCATTTATCATTGAAAAAAATCCAATGAAATATCACCATTAAGAAAGGGTATAAAGATAATAAAATTAGACAGCCATACACATGTGATATATGATACATCAGAAAAACTGAGTCTCAGATCACACCAAATAAAATCAAATTCACATTTGTATATATATAATATACAAATCATGGGTTACTTTCATACAATCGAATTAAAATTAAATTTCTGCATCGCTTATTTTTTTTCTACCATTGTAGTGACCAAGCATAAAAAATGAGTGAGTGCAGAGATTTAATTTTAATTAGATTGACTTTCAAATTTTTTTTTTATGGTAGTTTACTGTGAAGTGGTCAAATCAACTTGAAACTTAAAATAAGTACACATGTTCAATATGATGTAAACTTTAAAAGGAAATATGCTAAATTAGGGTCTTGTCCCAGGTTTTATGGTTCATTGAACATGAAAATGTGATAGTGTGAAGAGGGAATAGTGTCCTAAGGACACATAGTCTTGTTTGAACTGTCATGGTTTGGTTACAGTATTCATAAAAAAACTAATCAAAGTCTTTAGTATTTCATGCTTAAAGCTAGGTTGTTAAACGTCCTTTAGAAATGTCATCTTAAAGTATAAATCTATGTGAAGCTGATTTGAACAAAGGCTGAATTTTAAAATTTGATTGTGTTTTTTTACGGCAGCAAAATTTTTTTCGTATATTGGTATCACATCGTCATCGTCCGAAGACATTTGGTTTCCAGGCAATAACTTTAGTATAAGTAAATAGAAATCTATGAAATTTAAACACAAGGTTTATAACTACAAAAGGAAGGTTGAGATTGATTTTGGGGGTTAAAGTCCTAACAGTTTAGGAATTAGGGGTCAAAAAGGGGCCCAAAGAAGCATTTTTCTAGTTTCCAGACAATAACTTGTGGAACTGTGTATCGACCTCTCTGAAATTATACCACAAGTTTCCATACCACAAAGGGATGGTAAGGATTGGCTTTGGGGGGTAATCGCTCAAACCGTTTAGGAATTAGGGGCAAAAAAGGGGGAAAAACAAGGGTTTCCTTGTTAATGGACAATTACTTTTAAGTACAATGATTTGTGTTCGGATTACCTCCCTTACACTGCTTTTTAATTATGTATAAAGAAATTTATTGTCTTGAGGTGATTAGCTGTCAATTTATTTTTAAAAGTTACTATTAAAAATGCTGATTAAGGAATATTAATTTTAGACATGATTATATACATGATGTATGTCATTTTCTATTTTAAGACTTTTATGATGTATTTAAATGGGTAATTATGGTTGCAAACTCCATTGGAAATTTGAATTGAGATAATGACCATTTCTTGAGGGAAAGAATTATTATGGAGAAAAGGGGGGGAGGTTTAAAAAAAATTTGGGGGGAGGGTAAAAAAAAATTTTTTTGGGGGGGTAAAACAAATTTTTTAGGGGGGGGAGTCAATTCCCAACAGCATAGTGTATTGCACAAAAAGCAAAAAAAAAGGGGGGGTAGAAAATTTTTTTAATTTTTTTTTTGGGGGGGGGGAGGGGTATAATTCGCAATAGCATAGTGTATTGCACAAAAGCAAAAAATTGAATATAAATTCAAATCATATAACCAATTCTAAGTTCTTTGACTACAGTTATTCTGTGTCAGAAACCTATTATGTGTCAAATATTTAATTACAATCCAAATTCAGACCTGTATCAAGCGCGAATATTGTGTCCATTTTTGCCCCAACTGTTCAGGGTTGGACCTCTGCGGTCGTATCCAGCTGCACTCGGCGAAGCAATTTATCAAAATTAAAACTCTAAATTTTCATACCATTTGTTCTGCATGAACCCTACATTTTATTTTTACCCGCAGTAATAACTAAATGCATGTATTAGGTATTTGATATGACTTTTTATCAATTAGTATATCTTATTTAAATTAAAGGTTGGGGAAACTGCAACTATGTCATATGTTGGGAAAAACTTTGGACCAGATGCCAGTAAAGCTCAGAGTTATTGCAGGTATTTTTTTTTTATTAAACTTTAGATTTGTGTTTTGGATAAGGTATTTGTTTCCCTTGCCCAAAACATTGACTGTGGATATGGGTTCATGATGTCATTCAGGCTGCCAATCAAACATTGTAAGCTCTCTCATGCTTACAGATCTCATTTTATTTTAATAATATTTATGTCAAAGATTAGCAAGAGCAATATCTTAGATGAGTTAAAAACATCAGTGTTTGGATAGGGTTTTGAATCAGATTTTTCAGTTCACAGAACATGGGAATGTGATAAGACAAGCAGGGCATGGTAACCTATGGACACATATTTTTGTTTGAATGTTGTCTTACAGATTTGCTTTATGCCTTCTTGCCTTAAAAGGAAAAAAATACAAAACAGCAATATTTGCATCATTTTTGAGATTTAAATCCCATCAAGAATTAAATACGAGAAACAGCCTTACCCAAACAATATTTTGCCTCAAGATATCTTATTCAATGAAAGATATTGATGTTAGTCAAATATCTGTTTGGTTAAGAGTTTTTCTCATGTTTGATTATAATCACTTGAACTCTATCATGTACATTGTTTATATGTAAAATGGCAATTTTTGATCATTTATATTGATGTTGATTACACAGAAAATGACAATCCTCCACTTATGCGACCAGACTATTGATCATTCAATTCATGTATAAAAAAAAATTACAAGCTTTTTGTTATTTGAAAGATTTTACAATTTTACTAATTAAAGAAATAAAGAACTGCTGAACCAAAGCCTCCTAAATTTTGTGCTGGGTGAGTTCCCTTAAGTGGAAACCAGATGGTCTGCAGGGTTATCAGATAATAAGATATTAAATACCACTAAATTGACAACAACACTTTACGGCATTCCCGACACGATTGGAAGTAGTACCTCTGGCCAAAGGGAAGCCAGTCGAAATGGTAGGGAAATGCCTTAAAAGTGTCGTCCAAATTAGGAAGAAACTATATAGAAACTGTACACTGACATTATACTTGCATTCATATTACACATTGATTTATTTTACAACACATTTTATTTATACATTTACCGCCAGAATAGTTTACAACATTTTTTTCCAGATAAAGACAATTATAACAATAAAAGATTAACTCTGAATTTTTAATAATTTCATTTTTATTGTATTATATTTGATTCATTTTCTGTTCAACATTACATAATGACATATAGTATCCTATAGCAACCTCAGTAGACAAGACATGATTATGACGTCACAAACCGGATACCATTTTCCTGTACTTCAGGGATTCTAAATTTGTATACTTTGTCCTGAAGACGCCGATCTATTCAGCGAAACATGTTGACAAATAAAAGTTGCAGTTTACTTAAGTGTTGTTGTCAGTTTAGTGGTATTTAATTTTTATTATAAAAGCATGAGCATACTCCCTCAATTGTCTGAACCAATAAAATTCATTATCTTTTCACTGTTGATGATTTTATAAATTTGTTTTATTTTAGAGTAAAGTAAATTAAAGCTGATTTTATTTTATTAAAATAATGATGGCAGATAAATTGGTCAGGGCACAGGTGTTTATTGATGTGTTGATATCTGGTTGCATGGTATTTATAATATGAAAAGTCTTCATTTTACAGATATTATGTTGGTGTTGTAGACAGAAAACGTGGAAAAATGAGAGTATTTGATTCAGAAATAATTCAAATGGTTCCAAAACAGCCAGGTAGGCACTCATCATCTATTTTATTATAAATTCAACTAAGCCATAGATGTTTCATTTAAATTTGCTTGGGCATTATACTGTAAACAAACTAATTTTAGACTTTCAGGAGAAGAAAGATAACAGGGAAAATAAATCATAGCAACTTGTGAAGCTAGGATCTTGTCTAGAAGTATATAAATGCATCAATAATGTTGGGAAATTAATTGTTGTGAAGTCCGCTACAAAGAAGGGCTTAAGGCCAAAAAAGTATCCTTGAAAATAAGTTTGTTTACAGTAATCAATATTATATTTTTATTCAGAATTTTCGAAAGAAAAATCATTTATTGATTTGGGGATGTACGGCGGACGGACGGGCGGGTGGCTGCCAAACAGTGTCTGTTCATTAACATGAAAACACTTTGACGAAATCTTTTAAAATTTAGATAATCATGTTGTTTCCTGTGACTAAATGAAGGTCTAGTTCAATTTTCACGATTTTAGCTTTTTGAGTTGTTGAGTTGTAGACCTTTAAACAGCCAAAAGGGATACTTATTATATGATTTTGAGTTATTTCCCTTTGAACAGAAATGTAATTTCTATGTCATTTGGTCTGTTGTTTATTTTGAGTTATTTCCTTTTGAACAGAAATGTAATTAATAAATAAGTATATATTTTTCACTTGATCCTGTTCTGGGGTCCACATTGCAAATATCATTTTCATTAGATAATAATCTATTTTTATTAAGTGATATATTTCATTACATTACATTGTGTAGATAAACTTGTTGACATTGATAGATTATAAGATAAGTTGCAGATATGAGTTTGTGACAAATGAAAGATATAAAGTTTGATTACACTAAGTGTTTTTAAGATAACAACATGTGGTAATTATCAATCACAATTATAATTGGAGTGACAGATTTATTTGAAAATTTTGTGTTTCCTAAGTGTTTTTGATGATAAGCTCTGTAGGACAGTATAAATATAGCTTGAAATTTACTGTTCATTATTAGACATTTTGATTTTTCTTTCCTTTGGTAAATTGTTTGAAGAATTTTGTGGTAGGTTTGTTTGTTATTCTGTATAAACTAATTTTCTGAATGCTGTATATATATTTTTTTTTGATGAAGCAAACTCCTTTAAAAACTAAGCTTATATTGTCTATTAATAAACATATATTTAGATTTCTGATTTTGGGCCCAGTTTTCAAGTTGGTCCAAATCGGGGTCCAAAATTAAACTGTATTTGATTTCAACATAAATTGAATATATATAGGGTTCTTTGAAATGCTGAATCTAAACCTGTATTTATTTTCATTATTAATTAGATAATAAATACCATATTGAGGTCCAAAGGGTCCTAAATTAAACTTTTGTTTGATTTCATCAAAAATTGAATTCTTGGGGTTCTTTGATATGCTGATTCTAAAAATGTACTTAGATTTTGGATATTGGACCATATTCCATATTGAAACCTAATCTGTGTCAAATAAACAATCACAATCCAAATTCAGAGCTGTTTTAAGCTTAAATGTTGTGTCCATACTTGCTCAACTGTTCAGTGTTCGACCTCTACAGGGAAATCCGGTTTGCTGTCACTCTGACAGCCTCTTGTCATTTCTTAACATCTGACTCTTAAGGCCAAAAATAGAATTTAAATTGTTTGATGTTGCCTACCTACCCACCTAGAAAAATTTTATGACACAAATCGTTTCATACTTTTTTTTTAAAGATATTTCCTGCTCTTACATTATTGTCTTGTCTAGACATGTAACTTATGCTGTTGGCAAAAAAAAATCCCTATCTGCCTACCCAACCCTACAAGGCATGGGTAGGCAACATCAAACAAAGAATTTGTTAAGTGTGGCCTTAAAATAATCTCTTTTCTTTCTTCATGTTTGCACTTTTTACATGTACTATCCTGTGATGATGAGTAATTGGTAAACATGAGTAAAACCCATAACTTGTGACAATTTTACATACTTTAATAATTTCAAAGAGTATATAACTTAATATGGAAGAGTAAAAAGTATTAGAGAAATTGTCTTGATATGATTTATTTAAAAGAAAAAGGAAGATCTATTATTATCTTCAAAACTTTGACAATAATACATAATGTATTCAAGATTGAATTTTTTTTCAGTTATCTTATATCTGTAAATGTCTATATTCTTCTTATATTCAATGATAGAAAAGTTCACAAACTTGATTTTCATAACCATCAAAATTTGATTTACATATTCAATTTTATACTTGAGTGACAATATATAGTCAGTGTAATTAACCATCAGTTCAATCACTTCATCATTTAGTAAATATTGAATGAAGCTCCATTCATGTACAATAACTGAATTATCAATTCTATAGCAATTTAGATTGATTCTAAATATAAAGAAATTAACTGTCATTCATATTTCATGTATTTACATGTTAATGTAGTGAATGAATGGAATTAAAATAAAAATTAGAATAACTTTTTCCTTTCAATTAAATATACTGTGGATTCATTATTATTCATTGGATACAAATTTTTCTTGGATTTCACACATTTAGGTTAACAAAATATTTAAATATTCAATTAAGTACTTATGTTCTAATGACCTGTAGGGGGACTTTGGCAAAACCATAAAATTAAATATCCTCAAAAATACAGTCTTTCCTCAAACCACGAAAAATTGGTATCCAAGAAAATAAATGAATTTACAGCATACAGATTTGTACTTGAATTGATTGATTCATCTTGACTGACATATCTACGTTTACCCACACATCTGCAGATTCTTTTCAAATCTAAACTTTTAAGTACCTGCAAGCTAGACAAGCTTTTTACACAGGATGTTGTGAATTGATTGTCTTAGTGATTTCAAGATTCTTTTGTAATCTAAACCTTAATATACTTGCAAACTAGACAAGATTTTATATACCAGACTCCCGTGTTTTAAATAGATTATCTCGGTTATTTAATGTGACCATACATTGGCCTTAAGGATAACTATCATCTTTTCAATTAAAATGTATTTCTTTATGCTTTGTAGTTTGCTTTTATCATATTCTCTTTCTGTTGTAAATGGGTTAAGACATTTCTCCCATCAGTAAAGTTAAACGTAGATTTTCTCCTTTGGAGCTAAGGTGAGCATGTTCAACATTGTTAAAATCTAAAATATAATTATCAACCGGTAAGAAATATGGTTACCCACTGGAAATATATAGAGAATCTGTTTATCCCATATGTTTTTATCAGTTTTTCAAGTGTAAAAACTTGTTATCCGACAGGACAAAAATGTCACTGTTGCCAACATAGTAGCCTATCATGTGACATCAAATGACCATAAATGCGACCAATCACTGCATCTGAAATTACCAGTTTATTGTGGTAAACAATTTAAACCGTATATGGTTTAAATGATTTCATACCACCTTTTGGAATGTGTATAATCATACTTTTATAATTGAAAAAAATCTAATATTACAAACTTATTTTAGATATCTGCATATTCCTAATTGTTGTAGATTTCCAAGAAGAAGATGAGAGAGGGCAAATATCGTTACCTGCTAATGGTGATAAAACATACACACAACGGGTAGGGTAAACATTGAAAGTTAAATATAAAAAACGTTAAATAATTCTTTAACATAAAAATTTTACTTTAAAAAAATGCCACCTTTACAGATCGTTAATATCAAAATCCATAGAGAAATTGAAAGTTTATATTTCATATAAGAAGATTTTAAGAGTTAAACATTACAATTGTTGAATTCCTTAAAATATTTTTTTTATTCTGGTTAACTTCAAAAAGTAAGTAAAACATTGGTAAAGAAACTAGAGTATAAGTTATATAAGTCAGTTTCATGTTATTGAATTGATTTATATTTATTTCTTAGATTTGTAGAAGTCATAAAGTATTAGATCCATCAAATATGGCATATTTCTGTACTTTTAATCTGCAATGATTGTCAATTTATTCAAAGTTTCATATGATGTTTTTTCTACTTTGTTTTTTATATCACTTGAGGTCTGTCAACCAGAAAACATTTGAATGGAATTGACACTGTTGAAATTTGATTAAATTTGTATAATGTTATTACAGATTGATGATTTGACAGCCAACTTTGGTAGTAAGAAGAAAAAGCAAGCCATGGGGTCACGATTACGAAATGAAATCCATGGAGAAGCATTAGAAAAATCTCTCAACTCTGTTGTAGAAGATGCTGCATCTCAGAATAAAAACAAGCAAGGTATTTTATCATTTCTTAATAAATTCCTATTGATATTCTGTTGTGACTGTATCTTGAGGTTTAACTTACTTGTAAGAGTATTTTTGTTGTGGCTGACTTTTGAGGTTTCATTGCTAAAATATACCACAACTCTTAAAAAGGGGGCCATTTTACATTTACCTTGTTTGTCTGTCTGATCGATGCTCCAACAAATATTTCTGTCACACTTTTTAGCTCACCGGGCCCAAAGGGCCCCGTTTGAGCTTATGCCATCACTTGGTGTCCGTCGTCTGTCATCGTCGTCGGCATCTGTCGTCGTAAACTATTTCAAAAATCTTCTCCTCTGAAACTACTGGGCCAAATACCTTCAAACTTGAACTAAATGTTCCTTAGGGTATCTAGTTTATAAATTGTATCCGAAGTTTGTTTCCATCGACAAACATGGCCGCCATGTCTAAAAATAGAACATAAGGGTCAAATGCAGTTTTTGGCTTATATCTCAAAAACTAAATCTTTTAGAGCAAATGTGACATGGGGTAAAATTGTTTAATTGGTCAAGATCTATCTGCCCTGAAATTATCAGACGAATCGAACAACCCATTGTTGGGTTGCTGCCACCGAATTGGTAGTTTTAACAAAATTTTGCAGTTTTTTGTTATTATTTTGAATATTATTATAGATATACATAAACTGTAAGCAGCAATAATGTTCAGTAAAGTAAGATCTACAAAAAAGTTAAAATGTGAGGACTTTTCTGGATCTGTCAGACACCTACTTTATGTTTGCAATTACTTTACATTTTTTCAATATGTGAGTCAACTTAAAATTTTTGTCACACTTTTAACAAGAACAACTGAAAAGAATTACTATATTTGGATGGCAGCTTGACAGTGATAAGTTGTACTGTTTGAGAGTTTTTAGATCTGCCAAACACCAACTTCCTGTTTGCCGATACTTTGAATTGTTCTATATGTTGATTGAACTTAAAATGCTTCCTCAACCTTTCTTAAGTATTGCTTAATAGACTGTCTATTAATTTGGTCAGCAGCTCAATAATGATGAGTTGTAACGATGTCTGTTTGACACTCACTTCCTGTTTCTAAAACTTTGAATTATGAGTGAGAGTATAACAACACATGTATTTTTGTTTTGTTTTTATTTCAAAATGTTTCATGCACACAAATGCACATACATAGGAAAACAAGAGGAAAGGTGATAAATGATATGTGCCATTCTCATATTTTAGATTAAACCGAATTATATTAATGCCTTTTCCAATAATTTAATCTATGGATTGGAGATTTCATTCCTGATAAAACTTTTAGCTGTGAAACAAAATGGGTAAAAAAATATAACAATATGTGTCAACACAAACAATATATTGAAATAAATTGTTTTTTAATTCCGTGTTCTGGGTATAGTAATTTTTTGATAACAAGTTTGTCCATCCCATATGACCAATTATTATTCTCTTAACGTAGAATAGGAAAAGACCACTTGATGTAACAGTTCTCCAATTAACAAATATAAATCAATTAGGCTCACAGAATAAGATTGATTTGGATATTATTGCTTCAGATAAATCAATTTACAATACAAATTGACAAGATTACTTTTTATTGCTTGAAGTTAAAAACGAATTTAAAATGTTTACTTGTTGATTTGGTAGATCTAGTCATTACTGCCATAGTTACAACATCAAATGTACTTTAATGTTGTTTTTTCTGAGAATTTTTTTTGCTTTTATTACAAAAATTTTGGTGTAAATGCCCATCCTAAGATAGTATGATGACATGTCTTACCTTGAAAATGCAAGAAAATATAATCTAGAAAAAGCAATGGTTATAGAACAAATGAAATTATATATTGATTAGATACTGTACACCAAAATATTTTTAAACTTATATTAATTTGACTGATTTTAAAACCTGTTCAAGGTTAAAACAGCATTATAGATTAAAAAATTGTTCATTCACTCGACTAAAATCATTAAGCAATATTAAATTGATGTTGAAATAACATTCAGTTTAGATAGGTTTTCAATAACCAAAAAGATATGGTGTCAACTTAGTCCTAGAATGGTAAACAAAGTATAGCAAATCATCATTTTAGCTTAAATTGCCTAAAAGGCAATAGACTCCAATTGGTATCACTTTTTATATCATCTATTGTTGAAATTTTTTTTTAAAACTTCTCCTCCAAACCACAGTGCCACTTGTGACAAATAAAGGCAACAGTATTAGTATACTGCTGTTCAATAGTCATAAATCGATTAAGTGAAAACAGATCCGGGTTACAAACTAAAACCGAGGGAAACACATCAACTATAAGAAGAAAACAACAGAACAACAGAAACACTGATCATGAACTGCAACAAAAACAAACAACAACATACATAGAAACGGACTATTTAATAACAACTGCTATATACCTGACTTGGTACAGGACATTCAAGAAAAAATGGTGGGTTGAACCTGGTTTTATGGCTAGCCAAACCTCCCGATTATAGCAATGTTAAAAATAATGCTAAAATGACAACATCACGCGACAGGCATATAGTACATAGAAAAGCAAGAACACTCAGGACAGAGAAATGCATAAATAAATAATATAATATACATTACAACATGTAATAAATAGATTTGGTGTATTTACTGTCTTCTGATTGGTTAAAAGTACTACCTTTGTTTTCAATGTTGTCAATTTTTATGGCGACACGCCCACTTTGACGTTGTGTATTCATATGCCAACATGTGTGTACGTTGTTATTGTTAATATAAATAATATAAAAAGCTCTTTGAGCCTTATTTTTAAAAAAGAAATTTATTGATAATCAGTGACAATAATTTATTTTTGACTCTTCACATTGAATAATACTCGAATAACAACAACACCTCCCATGAATTTACGACAGTACACCAGTCCACCACAAACGAAGTGTAAAGTGACAAAACATAGCCTGAATCACCCTTTGACTTTTCTACATGTAATCCCATCTCTGAATTCATTTATTGATTGATTGTTCTTTATTAAATATCCAGTGACAATATTATTTCATGCTTATTCAGTACGAGAAATTTATAATTATTTCTACAACAGGTAGGTTCTTAAAGGTTGGATAACAAGGATAAAGGGGAATTTGGATTGCCACTGGTAAACAATGGTACATTGTGTATATTGGATATGGGCAGAAATTTTCCTTGCAACAAGCCACATACAGACCCCTTAAAGAATTGTTGCAAGGGTTTTTTTTTAAGTGCAGAGAGAATGCTATTGACCTAGGGCATCAGATTTAATTTATTCAGTCAAGTCCCCATTTACAGAATTTATGTAGGACTTCTAACTTGGTAAACCTGATCCAGAATTTTTGTCTTGTCAAGTTCATGATGTAAGGAATTATTATCCAAATCTGTTCCTGAATTTCTGTCCTTTCAAGGTCAAGATGTAAGGAATTATTTAAGGCATTATTATGTAAACAAATATAATTATAAGGAGATGTGGTAGGATTGCCAATGAGACAACTATCCACCAGAGATGAAAGAATTTACTGGATAGAGGAAAGACATATTAACGGTAAAATTGGATAGTAGTACAACATTTTTTTTATAATTAGTCCTATATTTTATGCAGGAATGAGCTGTGGTTATAAAATAGTGGTAAATATTGGGGAAGCCCCGTTATTCCAACGCCCCATTAGTCCGACGCACCATTGGTTCGACACCCCAATAGTCTGACGCTCCATTAATCTGACACCCCATTGGCCCAACACCCCTATAGTCTGATCTCCAATAGCCCGAAACAGAATAATTGAACAATATTTTATATCTTTTTAAGTTAAAAGTCCTGGTGACTTGTTCATTTAATATAATAATTGATTTATTGATGTTTAAATAAATAAATAAATAATCTTTATTTCAAGAGGATAATCCCATTACTTTAAACTTATCTTCTTGAGAGTCCTCAAAATAATAATAACATTTTCATAAAGTACATACAATATTATAATGATATATACAAAATATACACTTTTATCAAGGTAGGTTGATAGACATGTATTAGTGAAAATATTGGGATATCTTTACCCAAACAACACATAGAATGTAAGAGACGCGGACCTCATGTCTTGTGTGACTAAAACATGAGTATCAATCTAACTGTAGTGATCATTTTGTCAAACTAAATATACTTTGTAAAGTTTTGTTGATTACTAACATGAAGATACGCAGCTGTGTATATCTCCCAAAGCAGAGAATTGAGAAAGTTAAGGCTCCAATTAGGCTATAATGCTTACACGATTGTATGTGTGATGCTTGGTTCAGTGTACAGAATTATTTTGAAAAGAACGTCAGTTTAGTTTGTCTTTATGCAACAATGTTTGTACTTAGTTGAAGGGTGATTTTTTTAAAGTTAATTCCTTGAACTCTTATGACAGTCATGACAGTGGGAAAACTAGTTAACCATATAGAATTTTGTAAAGTTTGGCGCGCTCTCCGTAGGGAATCTGTTTTGAGTATACGAGTTCACAACAACAAAAAATGTGCTGGCAAATAGCAATAATGAAAACAGGTACATTCCTGTGTCAATGTTAAGAGAAGTGGTGTAGGTTGCCAGAGTTATTTTCATGTTGCATGTTTGCTTGTGCTCTTCAAAAGACAACAGATAAGTTGTGTTTTTAAAGAGGCAACAAAGAACACAAATGTAAATACTAGTGTACAGAAAAAAGATTTGTTGTTTTATGAATATGCAATTACAAATTTTATCACTTATGTAAACAGTTCATGCACATGGCTATTTGTACATGATTGGTATTTATTTGTTTGTCTTATGTCTAGTGGCAAATGTTTCATGACTATATAATACAACTTCATTCTGACAGCACATTTCATCCGTTTTAAGCAAAGTTTCAACCTCAATAAAGTCTTTTTTATATAGAAATAATTATCACCGATTGACAATTTTACTATCGATTTTACAAACAAACTTTTATATTTTGGCTTTAATATTGATTCACTTATAGGGTCTTTGCATCGGAATTAAACACATTTATTCTAAAACCAGTTGTTGGCATGACACGGGTTATGTTCTTCTCATATATTTTATGACGGTATAATACTAAACCCCTAACAGGAGGGATTGTGCCTGATATTCATATGATGAAGACATAATCTTTCAATCAGTTAAATTGAGGTCTGGAGCTGGCATGTCAGTAACTGCTAGTAGTCTGTTGTTATTTATGTATTATTGTCATTTTGTTTATTTTCTTTTGTTTCCTATTCTGACATCGGACTCTGACTTCTCTTATACTGAGTTTTACTGTGCGTACTGTTGTGCGTTTGTTTTTTTCTACATTGGCTAGAGGTATAGGGGAGGGTTGAGATCTCAAAAAACATGTTTAACCTTGCCACATTTTTGCGCCTGTCCCAAGTCAGGAGCCTCTGGCCTTTGTTAGTCTTGTATCATTTTTAATTTTAGTTTCCTGTGTATAATTTGGAGTTTAGTATGATGTCCATTATCACTGAACTAGTATACATATTTGTTTAGGGGCCAGCTGAAGTACGCCTCCGGGTGCGGGAGTTTCTCGCTGCATTGAAGACCCATTGGTGGCCTTCGGCTGTTGTCTGCTCTATGGTCAGGTTGTTGTCTTTTTGACACATTCCCCATTTCCATTCTCAATTTTATTTTAAACTGGCTAATTTTTTAGTATATTATCAATCAACAATTTGAGAGCTCTCAGTTTTGGAAGTTTACAATCTTTAAGATCGTGTACAGTGTAGATGAATGGAAATAATAATGCCTGGAGATATAGTCCTTCATTATGGTAAAATGACACTTTTTCAGTTTGGACAGTTTCCGAGACTAAATCATGTGACCATTATCCTTTACAATGAGAGACTGCACTGCTGAAGACTGATCTTTTTATTTCCTTTTTAGTAGAATTTGTTCCCATATACATGATATAGAACACACCTTGTATAAGTTAACCAAAACTTGCAAGGTTCTTCATTTCTTTATATATGCATATATTTCTTTAATACCAGATGTGTTGTATTGTATTATTTGTTTCTGTGATATACTTATAAGAAAGAGTAGTGCAAATATAACCCTTGTTAACGGGTTACATTATAGTCTTTTGGTCTATAATTGACACTGTGGCTGCTTTAAACACAAGACCGTATGCAATATATACAAATTTATTCACACAAGTTTACAGATTGAAAGCTAGCGGAAGACTCCCCTAACAGTTTACAAAACAATCTTATATTCATTCAAAGTTAATGAACTTAAACATTACAAAAGGTTCTTATAAAATATATCTATTATTGTCCAATCTTATGTAATAATAATCGGATTATTGTCCTCCGGCTAAAGTTAGTGAAATAGCGATAATTGCTTCTTTTATAGTTTAGTGTAAGATACATGTATTATCTTTTGCACTTTTAAATGCCATCGGATTAAGTTGTAAATTATTGAAATCTATAATCTATTTGGGTATTTGACATAAAGAAACATTATATTAAAAATAAAGAAACATTTAAAACAAGAAATATTCAATTTAAAACGACACTCATTAAATGTTCATATAAAGCATTTTTTTAATTACTGTAAAAGTTCCTAACGTCACTTTTCTTCTGGTTATACAAATACCACAACAACAATTCTATGAAGTAGATTTTCTATTACGGCAGTAATTAACCTTTGTCGGACTATTGGGGCGTCGGATTAACAGGGTGTCGGACTAATGGGGTGTCGGAATATCGGGCCGACCCCTAAATATTTACCTCAAAACATGTAGGGAAATGCATATCAGAATTGTTTTGTAATTTATATTAAATTCATAAAACATTTTATAATTCAGTGAATAAGGATGACCAGCAATCAACATTACTTCCTGCATATAACAAAGATGGCGAAACACCAAAAGATGTGTACCCTTTAGAAAGTGGTAAGAATGATTAAGATTGAAATTTTGTCAAGCAATGGTTACTCTTAATTATTCTTATACATGTAATGATTGCCAATATGACAAGTATCCACCATATACCAAAGAAAGAGAATGTAAACAACTGTTGGTCACAATAACAATAAGCTAAACCCATACTGTACATGTGGTATAGTAAGCTATAAAAGATACCAGCATGAGAGAATTCAATTGAGAAAACCAACGATCTAACTTATGTACCAGTTTTGTTAGAATTTGTGTCCAATAATTCATGAAATGAATTAAAAGTATCAAATATTTTGAAAAAAAAGTAATCCACCTTTTATTAGCAAATCCTTTTAACCATAAATTTTTTTTGTCAAGCCAGTGACTTTTGTCGCAGAAAGCTCGACATAGGGATAGTGATCCGGCGGTGGCGGCTGCGTTAGCTAACTTCTTAAAAGCTTTATATTTTAGAAGGTAGAAGACCTGGATGCTTCATACTTTGTATATATATGCCTTATGTTACCAAGTTTCCGTCTGTCATATGTCCATTGTCCTTGACCTCATTTTCATGGTTCAGTGGACGTGATGACTTGAAAAAAAAAGTCAACATTTTTTGTAATGTTAATTTCTTTCTTATTATGAGTAATAGGATAACTATATTTAGTATGTGCGTACCTTGCAAGGTCCTCATGCCCGTCAGACAATTTTCATTTGACCTCCACCTCATTTCATGGATCAGTGGACAAGGTTAAGTTTTCGTGGTCAAGTCCATATATCAGATACTATAAGCAGTAGGTCTACTATATTTGGTATATGGAATGATTGTAAGGTGTACATGTCCAACTGGTAGGTGTCATCTGACCTTGACCTCATTTTCATGGTTCAGTGGTCAAAGTTAAGTTTTTGAGTTTTGGTCTTTTTTTCTAATACTATATGCAATAGGTCAACTATATTTGGTGTATGGAAATATTTTATGATGTACATGTCAGTCTGGCAGGTTTTATTTGACCTTGACCTCATTTTCACGGTTCTTTCTCAGTGTTAAGTTTTTGTGTTTTGGTCTGTTTTTCTTCAACTATAAGCAATAGATCAACTATATTTGTTGTATGGAAGGATTGTAAGGTGTATATGTCTGTCTGGCAGGTATCATCTGACCTTGACCTCATTTTCATGGTTCATTGGTCAATGTTAAGTTTTCATGGTTGAGTTTGTTTCTTAGATACTATAAGCAATAGGTCAACTATATTTAATGCATAAATTGATTGTAAGGTGTACATGTCTGTCTGGCATGGTTCGTCTGACCTTGACCTCATTTTCATGGTTCATTGGTCAATGTTAAGTTTTCTTGGTTAAGACTGTTTCTTTGAAACTATAAGCAATAGGTCAACTATGTTTGTTTTATTGAATGATTGTAAGGTGTACATGTATTTCTCGTTTGGTTTAACTGACCTTGACCTCATTTTCTTGGATCATGTTAAGTTTATGTGTTACTTGTAGTAAAGCTTTATATTTAGGACTATCAACATAAAATCAATGGTGAGTAAAGAAGGGGAGACATTTCAGCGTGTGCACTCTTGTTTCAATTATTTATTCTTTTTTCTCAATATATAAAGTCAGAAAATGAATGTACAAACGTTTTTTTTACTGAATTAATTTTACTGAAAATGTTTATTTTATATCTTTATAAAAAAGACATCCTAAAGAAATGCATAACCCTGTTTCAAAGTGCATATTTATAAAGCCATAAATTTCAGGACATCAATTTAGCAATTGACAGCCTGAATTTTTTCACACAAGTGTAAAAATCATATTACTGATTTTTAAATGATTAATATAAAGATGTTCTCTTACAGTTACATTAGATAACAGTTTTGTTGGCATAAGTGTTTGATTTGATGGTAACACATGTGTTTATCGATGTCACTGATGTGTCACTATTAAAATGAATTCAGTCATCAATTTTCATGCCTACAAATCTTCCAATGCAACCTGTTATCTCCTAGTTAAAGGAAACTTTCAAAAAGTACTATAGTGACAAAAAAAGCAAATGCATACAAGGGATGTATGAAAGTTTTATCTATGCTTACAGCTTAACTTATTCATTCTTGATCTCAGCTAACACCTGTTTCATATGATGCATAAAGTTAAATGTCTTGTTAACATCCCATAAATGATGTTAGTCATGATTGTGATTTTCAATTAGAAGAGCCAAGAATTCAGACTTATATCTTTTCCTTTTTGCAGTAAAAAAAGATTGATATCAGTGAAATTTAATGAACAATAATTAGATAAGTAATTATAGGAAAGAGTCTTGATAAATGAATTATGAATCTGACATAAATATTGGTAACGTTAGGTGCCATCCGTTTCATGTGAGCACAAAATCAGAGTTATAATGGTTTAACACTGCTGGGAAATGATAGATATGATTTTATGTCATACATCAAAGTTAACTGTCTGTAAGATCTAATAAAGATAAATATAGTAATGAAGCAAATGTCAAAGAGATGTTAAATCAACAATAAAAAACACTCACAGCCAAATATCCATTATTGTTATAGGTGGTTCCAATATATTCGTTAAAAAGCTATCATATTCGGAATTGATTTATATGTATGTACTTGTAGAAACCAAATTGAAAAAAAATGCAGACAATTTATTAAATGACTTGATAAGTTTTTGTGTTACCTATTTTCATTATGCACTTTTACAAAATATTACATTATATCTGTCATGCTAGCTTTCAGCATAAGGAAAAGAGATCTGGATGTTGCCCTCTAGATGTCATTTGGTTATTGTTTTATACCCAATGCTTCAATGTAGTGGGGGTATATAGTTTTTGACCTGTCAGTCAGTCCATCAGTTATTTAGTTTCTGGATGCAAACTCAAATACTCTGTATATCAGATTAAACTTTACTTGGAGAAATTGACATTTATAATGACAGAATGGTTGATTGATTGAATGTTGGTGCTTAACGCCACTTTCAGCACTATTGGCTATATTCTTTCGGCCATTTTTAGCTCACCTGGCCCAAAGGGCCAAGTGAGCTTTTCTCATCACTTGGCATCCGGCGGCCGGCGTCGTCAGGTGTCGTCGTCGTCGTCGTTAACTTTTTACATTTTGAACTTCTTCTAGAGAACCACTGAATGGAATGAAACCAAACATGGCATGAATGTTCCTTATGAGGTGCTGACCAAGTGTTGTTACTTTGAAGCCGATCCATCATCCAAAATGGCCGCCAGCGAGGGGGACTTAGTTTAACATAGGACCCTATGGGAAATACATACAAATGTCTTCTTTTAGAGAACCACTGAATGGAATGAAACCAAACATGGCATGAATGTTCCTTATGAGGTGCTGATCAAGTGTTGTTACTTTGAAGTCGATCCATCATCCAAGATGGCCGCCAGCGGGGGACTTAGTTTAACATAGGACCCTATGGGAAATACATACAAATGTCTTCTTTTAGAGAACCACTGAATGGAATTAAACCAAACATGACATGAATGTTCCTTATGAGGTGCTGACCAAGTGTTGTTACTTTGAAGCTGATCCATCATCCAAGATGGCTGCCAGCGGGGGACTTAGTTTTACATAGGACCCTACGGGAAATACATACAAATGTCTTCTTTTAGAGAACCACTGAATGCAATGAAACCAAACATGGCATGAATGTTCTTTATGAGGTGCTGACCAAGTAATGTTACTATGAAGTCGATCCATAATCTAAGATGGCCGCCAGCGGAGGACTTAGTTTAACATAGGACCCTATGAGAAGTACATACAAATGTTTTCTTTTAGAGAACCATTGAATGGAATGAAACCAAACATGGCATGCATGTTCCTTTTGAGGTGATGACCAAGTGTTGTTAATTTGAAGCTGATCCTTCATCCACGATTGCCGCCAGGTGGGGACAATGTTTAACAAAGGACCCTATGGACAATACATACAAATGTCCTCTTTTAGAGAACCACATACTGAATGGATTGAAACCAAACATGGCATGAATGTTCCTTATAAGGTGCTGACTAAGTTTTGTTACTTTGAAGCTGATCCTTCATCCATGATGGCCGCCAATGGGGGGACTTTCTTTAACATAAGACCCTATGGGAAATACATGCAAATGCTTCTTCTAGAGGTGCACTGAATGGAATGAAACCAAAACATGGCTTAAATGTTTCTTATGAGGTGCTGATGAAGTGTTGCTACTTTGTTGCCGATTTACTGTTCAAGATGGCCACCAGGATTTTTTATTAAATTACAGGACCAATATTAAACCAAATTTGGCCTCACTCATTATTGGGGTATCTGTTATGATTTTAATCTATTTTTACATGATTTCCAAAACCAAAGTAGAATCAGGTGAGCGACACAGGCTCTTGAGAGCCTCTAGTTTATTGGAAGGCTGAGTGCACAGATTGAACAACAACCTTAGACAAGAAAACTGGCAATCCTAGTTAATTAAGATAGGAATCAAACACACCTGCAACATGCAGGCTTCAAACTTACAACCTCAGTGTTGACAGGCTATAATGAGAGGAAGATCACTATTGATTTATGAGGTCAGCAGGTCTAAGTTAAAAAAAACATAAAAAAATAGACAGAAATATGTGCAACAAGACTGGTTTCTTGATGCTCAATCAAATATGATATCTCTGAGTGCAACTTTTCTAGAATATATGGTTACATCTAATGAGAGGAAGATTCCTAATCATTTTAAGGTCACAAGGTTCAAGGTCATAGTTACTAAAAATGAATTAATATTTGTTCAGAAAAGTGGTTTTAAGATGCTTTATCAGAATGAAACCTTACTTTGATATATGGTCATTTATAATGAGAGGAATCTGGTCACTACATCTAATGGTAAATATCATAGTTACAGAAAGCATATTTTTGATAAACACTATTACTGTCTAAAACCATATCAGAAAAGACTCATACATAGAAGTAAATAGTAAAAGAATTACAGTGGGTAATTTCCAGCTCTTCCCCTTTATTGTTCTTTAATTTGTTTTGTTTGGTGTCTCATTGACATTGATACCACATCTCTTTTATTCATACTGTTCACATATTATGCTAACTAAAGGTATTGAATTATTTTTTTTTCAGAATTAAACATTTGCAAGTCAATAACAAGACAAATAACATTTGATATGAATTTATTTCAGTGCTAAATCAGCAGGCAATGGATGCCATGATGACACCAGCTCAAGTATTCTATGATTCCACTAAAACACAGATCAAAGACTGGAATGTAAAAGAGGAGTTAGTAATTTCCATAACAGCTTGGTTTTATATAAAAACAAAAATTAAATTGATAAATATGTAGAAAAAATGTTTATTTGATACCCTGGATAATAATCCACATGAAAATAATTGGATGTAGTATTATTACCAATGAAACTTCTTGTTACTGACTGCCTTCAACAATGAGCAAAACTATACAATATGACAAACTATAAAAGGCTGTGAGAAGAAAAAAAACTATAATATTTAACCAACAATTATGACATATAGCCTCTAACAACAACAACTGGATTACTGGCTCCTTGCTTTAGAGAGGCATACATATCAAGAAATGTGGTAATGCTATAAACATGTTTGTGAGCACTCAACCATCCCAACCTTGGACAGTGGTACATTGTAACAGCACAGAATAAGAACTAAATGTAAAAATTTGTTGGAAAGGGATTGACACATTAGATCTTTACTTCCACAAAAACAACAAACAAATTGTCAAAAGCCACAAAGTACCAATCTTAGAATCTTCACAGTAACCCGGTAACAGAAAGCTAGTTCAATATTCACAGTAACCAGGTAACAGAAAGCTAGTTCAATATTCACAGTAACCAGGTAACAGAAAGCTAGTTCAATATTCACAGTAACCAGGTAACAGAAAGCTAGTTCAATATTCACAGTAACCAGGTAACAGAAACCTAGTTCAATATTCACAGTAACCAGGTAACAGAAACCTAGTTCAATATTCACAGTAACCAGGTAACAGAAACCTAGTTCAATATTCACAGTAACCAGGTAACAGAAAGCTAGTTCAATATTCACAGTAACCAGGTAACAGAAAGCTAGTTCAAAACCCAATTTCAGTAACTTATAAATAAATGTAAGTTATAATAATAATTGAAAGGTTATGAGAATTACTGTTTTAAACAGGCATATTCAAGTTGTTGTACCAATTGTCAGGAACTTTTCGCATGTATCTAATTTTGCTATATTTGTGATGCACTTGTCAAGACTTCACCATCCCTTTTCATTGCATTGTAAATCTGGGGTAATGGTGAATAAATAAATCAGCTAGAATAAAATCTTAAGTCTAATAGCGAAAAAACATATGCAAAGATAACCCCATAAACAGTATTTTAAATGGATAATACTGTCATACCTGTAGTTTCTTAAGGTGATTTTCTGTGAATATCCTTACGCTCCTGTGGAACTTAATTAATTGTTGTAAAGTAAAAGATATTTATGGTTAAAAATAAGTCATATAGAAATACAACCACCCACCTGAGAAATACAACTCAAATTAGTCTGTACATTATTATACTGTATAAGAATCCTGCAATTTCGAAAATATATGATGCAGAGCAACAATTACTAATTTTTTTCTCTTTAAGTTTTATAGTTTGTGTCTGTCCTGATTTAGACTAAAATGTTATCTGAGCTGCTTTTTCGAGGCAGGATATTGACATTTAATGTCTGAAAATATACAGTGCATTGTTCTTTAATTCAAAGACTTGTGTCTTTTTCTTCTTTTTTTTTATCTTCAACAGACAAGGATGAATCAGGAAATCATAAAGAAATCAGTTATTAAACGCATGGGTGGCAAGGGAGGCACTTTTTTAAGACCCCAACCACCCATGAAATACGAACTTTCATTTTATTTATAATTCATATAAAAATCAAAGCAAAATGCAGCCACCCATATTTATTAATTTATTTGAGTGCCTCCAATCCTCTACCCTATAAATTTTTATTCCTTTTGTGCCCAAGCTGAAAATGAGGGAAAGAGGAAGGTAGATTTGGGATTTACATGTCGCTCTATTTTCACCTGAAATAAAAAAATATAAAATGTTTATCAATTATTGAATGAAAGCTTCAATGAAATGTAAGTATAAAATATGGCTTAATGAACAAATTTTTACCTTTGTGTTAAAAAAAAAAAGAACTTGTAAGAGGAGATTAATCTGGTTTTAGAAAGAATAGAACAAATTGACCAATAACAGGAACAATAAGTTAAAATTCGTGAAACGCATGAGTATCATCCAGATTGATATATTTTCCTCAAATAAATACTAAAATAATACACTTTTAGGCTTTGCAGCCATGCATCACAAAAACACCTTATTGATATTTGTCTGCCATTACTGGCCATTACAGACATTCCTGTGAAATGTTGATGTCATAAAAGAAAAGTCGGACGCTGAAATACAAAAGTGATTGTTGTATGATGTCAATAATACAAGTGTTGCAAAATCACCGCAGATTTCGAAATACAAATAAGGTCTAATGCATAATGCTGATATCAAGCATTTCTAACTATATAAAAGTGTTTAGTTTTGAAGTGTTAAATATGCTATGCAAGTTTTAAAAATTTGATATTAATTTGTATATTTTTATTATCAGATATCCAAAATACATACTGAACCACTTGTCAGTGTTGCCTTCATCCACAGATCAGAGATTGTACAAGTCCAAGATACTAATGTATCTCCATTATCTAATGTATGTCTATATGAAACCAGCCAAAGAACTTAGAACGAAAAGTATGTACAAACATATTCTTATGTAGATTACAATGTTCATGACAGACAGTTTATTACTGTACTGTGCTTGTGTATGATTAAAAGGAGATGTGGGGTATAGATCAGTGAATCAGCAACCCAGCAAAGAGTATGTACAAAGATATTCTTCTATAAATTAGGATGTTCCATGTTAAGACAGTTTATGACACAGATGTACTTGTGTATGAATAGAAGGAGATGTGGGGTATATTTGATAATGAAACAGCAACCCAACGACAAAAAGATCTAAAAAACATCTAGATGGAAACATACAATATTCAACAATAGACAGGTGTCTATACAATATGTCAAGCTCTAAATCATTCCTAGTCTATAAATGTTGTGAATAAATTAATAGAAACAAACAAATATCTGTCATTGAGACCTAATTTTCCAAATGTAAAATTGTTCTACTTCATTGTTTTAATTTTTCATTAATAAATACTGTTTAAACTAATTCTCCAAATAATTAAACACATTAAGACTTGAGATAGGAAATAAGACATAAGCTACTTCTGATGTGGGATCTTGTGATAGAAAGATTTTCTTTTTTTGAAAAGAAAAATAAAGGGTAAGGTGAAAAAAGATAATACTCACCACTTTCTGACCCAATTTTTAAATTACAACAAAATTTAAGTGATATTAATGGGAAATAAAATTTATGTCAAGGTTTTAAATTTTTATAGTAGACAAATGGTAGAAGGAAACAGTTAAACCCTTCTTGTCTGAAATGACATATTGAGTAACAAAATGTTGTAGAAGCAAGACATTTTTTTATGGTTTTGAGGGTTGTATTTTTGTCGAGCCTTTGACTTTTGTCGAAAAAGCGAGACATAGCGATCCTACATTCCATCGGCGGCGGCGTCCACAAATATTCACTCTGTGGTTAAAGTTTTGAAATTTTAATAACTTTCCTGGATTTCTACCAGACTTAGACAGAAGCTTGTTTATGATCATAAGATAGTATTCAAAAGTGAATTTTGTAAAAAAAAAATTCCCGTTTTTCCGTATTTTACTTATAAATGGACTTAGTTTTTCTGCCAGGAACCATTACATTCACTCTGTGGTTAAAGTTTTTAAAATTTTAATAACTTTCTCAAACTATCCTGGATTTGTACCAAACATGGACATAAGTTTGTTTATGATCAAAAGCTAGTATCTAGAAGGAAATTTTTATTAAAATTTTGTACTTGTTTATCCATATTTTACTTATAAATGGACTTAGTTTTTCTTCCAGTTAACATTAGATACAGTCTAACCCTTACAAATTTTTTTTTTTTTTAACTTGTAATAGTTATATATATACATGATATATGTAGAAAATCTGTAGAAAAAGTTATATCTGTAGAAAATCAGAAGACAAATTGTCACATAAGGAAAAAGGTTTAATATAAGCATATAATTTAATTTTGGATGTAACATGTCTTCTGATTGGCTGACAGTTTTTTGTCTATCAGCTCATAGACATAATTTTGTCATGTGACTATGACGTCATCAATGTTTTTTCATGATTTACTCCTTAAAATGGAATTTAGAATTAAATTATAAGGAATGACTGTAATATTTTTTCTGTCTATTCAAAATAACCTCAAAAATGTGCACCACATATTTGATGTTATTTCTTCATTCCTTAAGTAAATATTTTTATAAAAGGAGACCAGTAGTAAAACTGGAAACAAATACTGCAATAATAGTCACTTATTTTGAAAAAGATAAATGAGGCTGATGGAAATGATCAAATATTTTGATCACAGATATGTACTTCTATTTAAAAGAAATGTAGTTTTTCATTTACATTCAAAGGGAGCTAGGTAATTTAATTATTTTGCAGATCCTTTGCCAAAAGAATGGCCAGATAAAATCAGAAAACTTATATATGATGACTTTACGTTACTGATAGACTCTGGGAACAGACAAATACGGTAAATGACAATTTGCTTTGTTGTGTGTTATACCCCATAAAAAAATTGATCTTAAGTTTAACTTGCCTCTTCTCTAAGCCAATAGTATGTATTGCAACACTTTATATAAGTTGGTATTAAAACTTTTCATAGGCGGATCCAAAGGGGGGCCCGGGGCCCCCCCTTTCGTGGGAAAAATTTGGTTGATTATATAGGGAATCACTGAAGCATGACTGGAGCTGGGCCCCCCTTAGGTCAGTCAGCGGGCCCCCTCTTATGAAAAGTTCTGGATCCGCCACTGCTTTTGCATAGCATTCCTACAAATTAATTAGTGAAATTGAATTCTTAGGCCTAACAAGAGAATATGTGTGTCACCTAACAGACCCTCCCATTTGGCAGTTAATATTAACATTTGTCTTTGGAAAAAACTGGCAATGAAAACTTTTTAGTGGCAACATAAATTTATTAGTCACTGAAAAGTACTATTTGATTCCCAGTGTCAAATAAGTGGTAAGTAAAAATTTTAAGAAGAACAAAAAATGGTAAAATGATAGTTTTTGTTAAAAAAATAAATCACAAATGTAATTGAACAATTTTGGTTCTAAGATTTTAAAGAAAATTGTTATATAGGTATGATATATGCTATTCCAAATAGGTTCTTAATGTCAGATTTTCCTTAAAATCTTAAAATGTCACAAGTTTTGAGAAATATTTTTGCCAGGCTTTTAAATGAAATGTGATTATCAGGTACAATATGCTATTCCAAATTGATTACAGTGTAAAAATTTGTCAGTTGCAATATTTGAAATGGCTTCCAAAATACATAGAATTCAAAGTACTTGGATTTTAATGAAACCTAACATCAATGTTGAACATATCCTGAAATAGTTCTTGGTGCCAAATTAAGGAAGTATAAGTGGCCAGAAACACCATACCAATCTGTTAAAGAAAGGGCTTTGTCATAAATCTGTTTGTGCATTTTTGTACAATTTGACTCTTATACAGGGCTTCCAAAACAGTCGTGTTTTAAGTGAAAAATCGTCAAAACCACGTTGTTTGAACTAGTACACTCATGCGCATGTGCGCAGATGTGAGATTTAATTTTGCATCCGAATTTTCAAAAATGCTAAAAATATCATTGATACCTTTATCTAACGTTCATTTCAAGTATTTTCCTTTAGAAATAACGCGGAATGAGCTACTTAAACTCAATTATTTTTGTCAATTGTGCTTTGTATACGTACACAGGTTTTATGTATCCGTCCATGGTCTGTGTGTTACCATTGTCAAGTCAACATCCGGTATAAGGAAAATGTACTTTTTAAAAACGAAAGTGAAGTTATTGACAGCGTAATTTTGCACAAATAAAGAGTCTTGGGCAGATATTAGTACGCTGATGTTGCACACTTCGAATGGTGCACTGTCAATTTAACAGTTAACGCCAGAACATGGAATTTATATTAAAAATCAAGTCAAATACCGTTTTTGTGTCAATCATAATTTATATGATGCCCAACTGATTACTATGGTTGCCTTTTGTTACTAAGTCTTAAGGGATTAAAATCAGGATAAGACACACAAAAAAATGTCTGGCTAGCTCAATTATTTTTTGGAAGCCCTGCTCTGATACATGTATATGCCAATACATACCATAAAGTTAATCTTTGCCTCCAGAGATTTTTTTTTTTTTCATTTTAGGTGTATTCCATCCCGTCTGAAAGACAAATTAACATTATACATTCTGGTGCTTTGTCTTATTCTAGATGAGTTTGATTTACCATTGAATGATTTACAAAGAGACCTCAAATTAGGTGGAAAAAGGTAATATATATGTGTAAAATAGATGGAAAATGTGTCCATGGGACACAAATGATGCCCCTGGTTACATATAACGTTAAAAAGGGGCATAACTCGAGAACGGTAAAAAAGACGCAACCCAAATTCGAACTTGATCTGTGTTTTGTGGTAATAAGCATTGCGCTTAAGTTTCATGTTATTTGGTTGAGGTAAACTAAAGTTAGAGAATGGAAACTAATTTTGGGACATATGTAAGTATGGATAAGGGCAACACTTAATGCCCCCTCCAGTGATGGAGGGGGGGGGGGGGCATAAAATTGTTTTTAAGCATTGCAATGATAATATACTTTCCCTTTTCGTGCATTATTATTGTTGTACCCCAACTTTAGGAGTGGGGACTATATTGCAATCACCTTGTCTGTCTGTCAGTGTCAGTTCTTTAAACAAAAATTTTCATCACATTTTTATCAGCTATTCCTGCACAGAATAACTTCATACTTTATTAACAGTGCATAACGTGAAAACATGTATTCTTGTTAATTCTACTTAAAAGTATTATTGGAAATACAAGTAGATGTAGATTAAATGTCAGTATCATTAGACAACAACATGCAACTGTTGTCAGTTCATATAGTTACCTGTACTTGGTGGCCACTATGTTAATGGTATAGGCCAAAGATATTTTTTATTATCCTAACATCTGTAGGTAGTTCTGAAACTCAAGGATGTATTATAAAGCCAGCTAAGTTCTGTTTACACAATTACCAAATTTGTATACTAAATTCTGTGTTATATTTATTTGCAGTTTAGACACTTACATTAGAGAAATTGGGTGTAAAATGAAAATCAAGAAGATAACAGCAGAACTGGGAGAGAAACTAGAAATCAAGAGTGCAACTCTTCAATTACCTTTAAGATTTCCAGAGGCAACAACAAGGAAGGCAAAAGCTAGAAGATAGTGATTGAATTATGAATTTTTTCGACTTCATTTCAGTATCAGTAATGGATAGAACCTTTTGAATAAGTCTCTGTGTAGAATCATCATGATCGTCTTATGAAATAATTGATGAAAATAATCTCAGAATAGTGTAAATTACTCTGTACAAGATCTTATAAGCTCAGAATATTATTAGTTACTGTGTGCATGATCTATCAATACTTCATTTGTCTAGTCAGTAATTATATAAAACAGTGTTTGTGTTGTGAACACGATAGCAAAATTCAAAACTGTTATGGAAATTAGAAAATATTATCCCCCTTAAAAATTCATAATAAATGAAATAGGATGTCTGTCCTGCTCTGCAAACAATGCTAGTCATAGTATTACTGTCCCCCTAAAAATCAAAGAAAAAGAAGAAAAAAAGAAAAATTTCAAGGGTAATAAAAAAAAAATCTGTAGACAATAATAGGGCAAAGAGAAATAGAGAACAAAACACATCAGTTCACAAAACACTACACACAAAACTTAACTGAAATATGAAATCAAAAACTGAGAGTGACCACAGGTAACTTGAAGAGTAAGCATTTTTTGCTCCACTAATGATAAACATGTTTTTGCTCATGACAAAAAAAAATCCTGTGATGACATAAAAAAAAAAGGAAAAAGGAGAGAAGGTCAAAACAACAATTGAGTATAATTTTATGTAAGACAAACTGATATAACGTTACAAAAACATTTAAAGGTCAACATATGGTCGTCAACAATAGACAAGTGTCTTTAAAACATATCACTATCAGAGCTGTCTTCTTGTATGGATTGTCTATATATAACGAAATTTGTAGAGAAATACTCATTACATTTAGCAGACAAAAAATTATGGCTTACTGTTGATCTGTTTTTTTTTTCTTCAAAATTTGTCTAAAATTCAGGTTGTCAAGGTAAGAGAATGCTTGTATTACTGAAATCAATTACTTAAAGCATTTTACTGACTAGGGCTTAACATTTGGTATTAGAAATGATCTTACATCCCAGCTCCTTTGTTCTACCAGGAGTGATATGAGCCGGAGCACCACTACCAGATCACCCAAGCTTGAGTTTTTTTGTTCTGCATGCATTCCTTTGTTCTGTAACATTTTGGCGGGAATGTCAAATCCACAATAAAACTTCGAAATATTTATACAGAAAAGACTTATTATCAAAATTTATGTAGAAAAAATCCAGTGTCTATGCTGGGAATCGAACTCAAGACCTTTAGCATATAGACCCACGATTTATACCCCTACACCATGACGACTGGATATAAACTCACTGTTAATTTAACATATGTAAACATTGTGTATGGTGCTCATAAAGGGTATATACTATATAGTAATATATAAAGTATATTATAATGATTGTGTGGTTTTCTAATCTAGATTTTATGAAGTGTAAATGTTTTTTTTATCTAATCTAGATATGTTACAGCTGGGATGTAAAATAGTTATCCCATTCAGACTTGGTGTGTCAATGTAAGATCATCCTGTGGCCTCCCGCCATTGGGGTGATCTTACACTGACACACCGCGTCCTCATGGGATAACTATTACTGAATGTCTTCAGATGAAGCAGACATCCTGGAGAAGAATGATGAAAATGAATTTATAACTTTGAAACGCAGTGGATAAGATGACACAAAAGCTCCAAAAAGAAAGACCAAACACATACAGAAGTAAAAATAATATAATTGTTCTTTATGCCCATATAATGGCTTCAAAAATGGGAGAGCACGTGTTCAACTGTACTACTGCAGTTGCAGTCATGCAGAAAAATTTCTTTCTTTCAGCTTTGTGGTATTGAACTATTGTTTTCACAGTGAGTTAGATGTTACAATACCTTAAAAAAGTAGTTCCTTCGATACAGCTATAAAATGGTCCCTATTTCCAGGTCAAATTTCAAATTAGGATTTATTGACCTATTTCACAATGAATCATAGCTAAACAATGACTTGATAAGAAAAACATCTTTTTTAAATTATTTTTAATAATGTCACAAATACAAAATGTAGCCTCATTTTGATTTTCTAAGAAATTCAATGACAACACGTGAATTTTCATTCATTTTTTTGACTTGAAATATATAGCACATGCGTCAACAAAAAAGATCTTTTAACATAAAGTTTGTCATAATAGTTTACATATGTTGTTACAATGTCAGTACAATTGTCGGACACAAGGAAATGATTTTTTTTATACAATTATAGGATTGGACTTGTATATTGGACTGTATATTGTATACTATATATTGTGACTGACAAATTTGAGTTAGTCCAAATGTTTGACAAGAACTCTCCATTGGCTTTCAATTTTTTGTGAATAAGCGTTCCTGATGAATGTAAAACACGTAAACACTTGAGACACCACATTTATGAATTGGTGTTTTAAATTTTTGTATAAAAATAAGAGATAAAAAACAAATATGACTTGCCAGCAACGAATAACAGGTTCCTGACATGGGACAACACACTGGGTATCCCGATCCTAAATCCATGAAAGGACTTAGGATTTGAATACAGAGGAACAATTAATGAAAAGTTTGTAACGGTGGGGAAGTAAAATCGGGATCTGATCCATTTTTATTGCTCCTTGGAATTCAGATCCCTCCGTGGTTTCGGATCGGGATACTAGGTAGGGACAAGCTAATACAGAAAAAAGAGAGGGTTAAAATTTTAACACGTGCTCAAAACCCAACCCCTGACCAGGATAACTGTGTAATAGCACAACATAAGAACAAACAAAAATAAAGTGCTCCGCTGGGCGCAGCTTGATATGACCGCAGAGAACCCTGAACAGTTGGAGCAAGTATGGACATATCATTCAAGCTTGATACAGCACTGAATTTGGATTGTGATTAAATATTTGACACAGCATAAGTTTCTGACACAGAATGAATGTGGTTTAAGAACTTAAAAATTTTCATATCATTATTATTTGCTTTTATATATAAATCAGAAATAACCAATTTAAAATGGAAAATTTTAAAGAAAAAAAAGGAAAAAAAAATCACCCCTCAAATTTTTTTGAACCCCCTTATGATTCATCACCCCTAAACTCAATCCCAGCCTTTACTTTGTGGTATGGTACCTTGCAGTACAATTTCAGAGAGATCCGTACACTTGAACACAAGTTATTGTCGGGAAACTAGAAAAATGCTTGTTTTTTTGCCCCAAATTCCTAAACGTTTAGGACAATTACCCCCAAACTCAAACCCAGCTTTCCCTTTGTGATATGGAACCTTGTAGTACAATTTCATTAAGATCTATACACTTACACACAAGTTATTGTCCTGAAACTAGAAAAATGCTTGTTTTTTGCCCCTTTTTTGCCCTAATTCCTAAAATTTGGAGGCAATTACCCCCCAAATCAATCCCAGCCTTCCCTTTGTGGTATGGTACCTTGCAGTACAATTTCAGAGAGATCCGTACACTTAAACACAAGTTATTGTCTGGAAACTAGAAAAAATGCTTGTTTTTTGGCCCCTTATTGGCCCCAAATTCCTAAACGTTTAGGGCAATTACCCCCAAACTCAATTCCAGCTTTCCCTTTGTGATATGGAACCTTGTAGTACAATTTCATAAAGATCCATAAACTTACACACAAGTTATTGTCATGAAACTAGAAAAATGCTTGTTTTTTGCCCCTTTTTTGGCCCCTAATTCCTAAAATTTGGAGGCAATTACCCCCAAAATCAATCCCAGCATTCCCTTTGTGATATGAAACCTTGTGGTACTATGTCAGAGAGATCCATACACTAACACACAAGTATGTCTGGAAGTTACTAAAATGCTTATTTTTGGCCCCTAATTCCTTAACCGTTGGTACCATAACCCCCAAACTCAAACCCAGCTTTCCCTTTGTGATATGGAACCTTGTAGTACTATTTCATTAAGATCCATACACTTACACACAAGTTATTGTCCTGAAACTAGAAAAATGCTTGTTTTTTGCCCCTAATTCCTAAAATTTGGAGGCAATTACCCCCAAAATCAATCCCAGCCTTCCCTTTGTGGTATGGTAGTAAGATGGAAAAGTTGGGAACTATTTTATTTTAAAAAAGTTTATTTATACTGTACTTGTGTTCAAGTTTTTAATCCTTTTTGTGCGCAGCATGTGCATCTCGTAGCACATATTTCTAGCCAGAGTTTCAATGCTTTCATTACCAGTTGAGTAACAGTTTATGTCCTTGCTAGTACAGTCCATTATGAGCTGCAGTAAATTCCCTTCTTGTATGATCTTCTTGTATGTTGAGGTATCGATTTCATCCATTGTCTGTTCTATTTTTGAGCAATATTTAGATCTTATTTGCTCCAATTCTTTGCAGCGTAGAATAAAATGTTCCAGATCTTCATTTTCCTGTTCACAGATTGTACATATTGGGTTAACTTTCGGATCGAACTTAGCTCTTTTGGCTTGTAATATGTACGTTTGAGTACTTATTCTTGCTTTTATTTCTCCTGCCTTTACATCTTTACTATTGTTTTTTACGCTTTTCCATATATTGTGTGCTTCATTTAATGGTTTGTTCTGTATCTCTATGTATTTAAGTGATGTTTTTCCATTTTTTCATAGTGACATTCATTTTTCCAGTATTCCTTGATCTTTATTCCTACTAGTCTTTTCCATTCGATTTTCTTAAGTGGTTTTTCTATTTAGTAACTACTAGATTTCAAATTGTATTTTGATAGAGTTTTTTCCACTCTGTTGATAAAGTCTTTTCCTCTTTGGTCTGAGAATGCTATTTGTCGACGCAGAATTTCACATTCTATGGTTCCTGAATTTCGAACAATATTCATGAAGAAGGTAAGTAGATTTTTGTCTAATGTGATGGCAATAGGTTCTGCTCCTACCAGGGTATAGACAGCCATATTTGCTGTATTATTTGGAAGCCCTTGAATTTGTCGGAGGATTTTTCTCTCTGCCAGTTCTAGCATATCCTTTTCTTTTGCAAGTAAGTTCATCACCTCAAGTCCGTAGATGCTTCTTGATACTGCATATGTTCTCCATAGCTTGTATGCGACCATGGGTGAGAATCCCCTTCTGACATGTAAACCGGCTCCGAGAAGGCTGTATATTGTTGCCCTGCCGGTTCTTATTCTTTCAGAGATATTTGCCCGGTTTTGCTCGTTTCTTTTGATACCTAGATGTTTGGTTTCATTGGTTATATTGATGGCATCGTCTTCGAATTGCAGTGTTGTTATGTTTGAGCCTTTTGCATTATATAAAACCGCTTCAGATTTAGTTGGATTGATTTTAACTAGATCTCTGCTTGTATGGTGCTGTACTATGTCTAATATTCCTTGTGCGTCTGTAGTACTATTTGCCAGGACAGCAATGT